TTTCTCTATAATTCTAAAAAAATTTAAGATCGTTGTGTTACTTATCGAAAAAATTAACAGAAATTGTAAGTATTTTTTCTAACTTTATACGGAAACCTCGAGTATTTTTATTGTACTTCGATCGGAATCAATTCTACCTGAATTTTATATGAACATCATGAAGTTTCATTCTATGGCTTTATTTTAATCGAAGAAGTTCATTTCCAAAAATCACAACACATATGATGAATAAAAAAATGAAAACAAAAAGTTTTAGTAACAACTAAACAAAAAAGTTACAAATAAGCCAAACAAATAAAAACATCGTTTTTATTTCGAACATAAATCACTATGAATATATGCATATGTTTCAAAGATATTTTCTATAACTGTTAACATAATTCGGAAGATCGCCTTTTAATGCATACTATCATTGAAATAAGTTTTGTTGTTGAATTGTATAATAAGATCGACAGATATAACAAATTTGATAGTTCGTATCAATCTTGCAACTACATTCCCAACAAAGTATACTATGACATTGGTTACAGTTGCTAATTGTTTCCAATGGTTTTATAAAATTAAAACATAACTGATATTGCGTAGATGTTGAACTTTGTAAAGGAGCATATAATCCAAGATTTGGCTGTAATGATGAAATTGTTGTCGAAACATTTGTTGGTAACATATAAGTAATAGGTGATAATGAAGCAGTATGAGTATCAATAGGTGTTGCATTCGTTGTATTTATTGCATTAGCATTATAAATATGTATGTTCAATGATACAGTTTGTTTCTGTTTATTGGTTGTTTCCTTCGTGTTGCTCTTCTTTGCAACTTGTCTTTCAGTAGTTTTTTTTTGCTTTTTTATTGCTGTTAAAGCAAACTCGTCGAGATCTGTTATACTTTTCCCATGTGTTCCATACACAAGACGCCTTTTCGTTTTTGCAGTTGTTGTTGTTGACTGCGGAAAATCCTTCATGATAATCATTTCAATGTCATCTAATGAATGATCATTCTCTAGATATAAGTTAAGCTTTTCATATTTACGATTTTTTTCTATTAGGAACGTACGGTTACCTTGGGACCTTGAAGAAGCCAATGAGTTATCATTTGTATTTAATAATAAAGTATCAGATTGACTTGAAAATGATTGACTTGCTAATGATTGAGTAGAAGTACACGATGTTGATAATACCGCTGAATTAGTAGCTTGCAGAGCATCATCAAGAATATTTATTGCGTTCTGATATTCCTTTGATGATGATTGCTGTTATTGCGATTTGTTTGCTGGATCAGAACCTATAATAGCTAACAGTGTAAATGTTTATAATTTTTTTTTTGCTTACTTGAAAATAGACCTGGATCTGATGGATATTTAATCAATGGAGATCTTCGATTTTTATTCAATGTCGTTGTTGTTGTTGTTGTCGTAGTTAGTTTTGTTTCGTTGTTTTGATAATCGTATTCAACAGATTGTGAACAAGGTAATCAGTGTGACGTGGTTAAGTTTGAAGATGCTTTTATCAATGTATCACGTTTGATTCCACGTGGATCATTTGGGTATATTCCGACTTTTCCGAAAGCTGCCGAACAATGTGCTGGCAATAGCGCATACAATCATATAAAGCTAGGTTAATCTAGTTTTTTTAAAGCATTTTTTCTGTTGTACTCCCAAGGCAAACTACGCCATTGCATTTTGACATACTTCAACGTATAAATGTCTAATGGTTGCAAGATGTGCGTAGTATGTGCAGGTAAACAGAGTAAATGAATTTGATTATCCATTGCTAATTGTGCAGCTTTCAAAGATAAGTGCGAGGTGTGCCCATCACATATTAATAAAATTGGCCTTGGTATGTTTTGTTTGTGGAATAAACATATTTTTTAAGTAATATATGAACCATTCTTCGTCGATCCAGTCCGAATACGTGTGGCTGAAGATAACACCACGAATAACATTACGTGGACACCATGTATCCTAAAGGTACTTTGACTTGTAAACAACGTATGGTGGTAAACAAGCACCAGTGGTGCTAATTGTCAATAACACAGGGGTACTTTGTTTACCACTACCAGCATGCGCTCTAAAAAAATACACGATTTGTCTAAGTTTTAAAGATAATAATCAAATAAAATGGTTATTGACCCACTTCGTAGCACACTTTGTTTCTCGACTAACTAGAACTTTTTTCCCTGGAGCATCCAGGAACCCAGATTCATCACAATTGAATATTTGTTCTGATTTGTCAAATAACTCTAGTTTTGATAAAACCGAATGCAATTTTTCAAACCACCCATCAATAGTACTTGACGTTACTGCATCAGCTCGTGATTTTTCCAACTTAGTACTGTTCATCATTTTCAGCTTATGCTTCCATACCAACGAAATCATAATACCAAGCACGTGTTGGTCCTCCATTTTTAAATCGAAATTTTAAATTCATCATATCAACGAATTCTACTGAATAATTTAATGCATCATCAAATGTTGACAGTTCTCCATAATCCTGAAGCGTGATAATTAAATCAATCAGATGTTTTTCTTGTATTGTTGCTAAAGCTGTAGGATGACCGACAGGTTGATTTGATTTTCGAGAAACTCGAGATTCGAGTGTACCAACAGGAATATTTGTAAGGCTAGAAGCTTTTTCGTACGTCCATTCTTTCGAAAGAATTTTTTAATAGCATCATTTATGTCATATTCACTATTTGTTGGCTTTTTAGTTTTTCTCATATAATTTCTTACCATTAGACAAACAATTTCTATCGAAACTAGACTAATAATAACAATTGGAAGAATACATATGGTCTAACCGGTCGGTTTTTTTCTATCAAAAGTAATGTACACACATATTCCTTTCACGTTTTCTATGTTCTATCATAGCCAACAAAATTGGTTCAAATGATATATCGTAAATTTTTCAGTACCTGAAGTATCTGCAATCTTCGACTCGAAGCAAAAAAACGAAATACTCAGAATTCATGTTTCAATCGGAGTACAATAAAAATACTCGAGGTTTCCGTATAAAGTTAGAAAAAATACTTACAATTTCTGTTAATTTTTTCGATAAGTAACACAACGATCTTAAATTTTTTTAGAATTATAGAGAAATGAATTCTATGTATTATTGCTAGAAGAAGGTTTTTAACTAGATTCTTTCTTCATTTCAAAATTTACTTGGAAAAGATTCAAAATTTCTGTCTGTTTTTTATGTATTTATTCAATTACCCCATCGTTTTCCTTTATTTATGCAATTACCCGAATAGGAGTAATTGGACATATTTTTATCATTTCTTCTAATTCTTGAACCTGAAAAACTCATTTAAAATTAAGTTATCTAAATGGGAGATCCTTACCGATTGTAAAAGATGACCTTCTCTATTTCTCTATGAAAAAAATAATTAATTAATATCATTAAATTAATGAGAAAAGTTAATTTTAATTAGACCGTATAAAATACATTTTTTATGCAATTTCCCGATCTCTCTAATGTACTTATGTAATAGCCTCTTCTGGGGTAATTTGAAAACGTCATTGGGGGTAATTGCAAAACAGGTGGGAGATACGCTTCTGTAAATCAACTTTGAAAAATTTTTAGACAGATAGATAGAGGATCATCTGTTCTTCTTGTATGCAAAAATTTGTGAAAAATTAATTAATGATAAAAAAAAGTCATGCTAATTAAAATAAAAAATATTAAAAGTTCATATCCAATTGCTCCACACTACTCTATATTCAGCATTTCTAATAATGGATAATGAGCAACGTTTGATACACTTTAATCTTAATTCTCATTGTTTTATTAATGAATATTGTTGATTAAAAAGGTTTTTGTTTTAATTCTATAGACACTATTTAGAAAAACCTCATAATACACGCATTAAATATAGAGAAGATTAAAAAAATAGATAATTCTTTTTTATAAGTACGGAATTCGATTATTGCGAAATGCCTAAAAAAATGGACGAAGATCACGTTGTGCTTGTTCACCATATAGCTAAAATTCAAATTTCCGATTATGCTTAAAAAAATATCCAACATTCTTATCATGCGAAATTCTGCCATATCTCTAATAAATGCATCATCTTGTCAATTAATAGCATCACGAATTATGTGTTCTGTGTCTCTTGGTATAATTGAAAATGGTAAACATTCTATTTCTTTTGGTGTATTCAAACAATCCGAATCAGCTACACAATGAAGTTTTTGCTGTATAAGAAAAACAAAATATCAATTTTATTTTTTCTAAATACACAGCAAAAACTCTTAGTACGATCTTCATGTGATAAAAATGAGAAGTACGGTGTAGCTGTTCTTGTTAGTCATACGAAAATCGCTTTGTTCTGTCTATTTCGAATCACATTTTTTGAACATCTTTTTACTTACTTCTCCTGAAATGCAATAAGCATGTTATTGTTTTACGAGGTTTGGCCGTATAGTAATAACGTCTGTAACCGAGAGAATAGACGCTGCTAAGATATCTGTCATGGTTTTTGGTAACGATGTGACTTTAAATATCTACCTCTATATGTCAGTACTCATTTTTGGATCGTGTTTCAAAGAATAAGTCATTCTTACCCATAGCTTGTCTGAGATATTCGACGACTTCAACAACATCTTGAAATTCGTTAATATCAGATTAATCCAGATCTTCTGAATGTGCTGTAAGTGCGTCAACAAGACATGAAATGTTACCTAGTATTGTATAATCTAGTCATTGAGGTATTGATGCTTGCATTGCATATGAACATAGATCTACTGGTAAGCCATCACGTTTAAAATATTCATCCAACGTTGGATTTTTTACAACATACGAAACAGAAGATTTGTGTGCTGATTTCATACAAAGCATGATATCATTTTCATAATTTATCATCAACATCTTTAATATATTTTGAACGAATACATTTTTCATCATAATTCTCAATGTATGTCATTGAGCCCAAATGCGCAGCATGAAATTGAATACGAGTTTCATTTAATATTTCTTTTACTTTGTCTGATGTAGTTTTTAATGTTAATGCAAACTGATCTTTTGGATGTTCACAAAATTCATAAACTTGTTTTAAATATTCTTGAGCACAACCTTTGAGTATTTGTTGAACTTCTTTATCTGAAAAATCTGTCGAATAACATATTAAATTGATTGAAGTTGCTAAACGTTTAACATGCCATGTAAATGGACCAACATAACCTTCATCAAAATTATTAACATCAAAATTGAGAATACCATTATTATCTAAATAAAGGGTGTTAGCTAAGTTCTGATTCCCTTATTAATTTTTCTTTTTTCACGTCATTGTTTGATTTGAAACGCTGATATTTACAGTACATATCCATGATATGAAGACCTATTATGTACCAAAATTTGGGCTTTATACTCTTTATTACTATTGCATTCCAAATGTCAGAAAAAATAAAGCAAATTTTTGCATTTTAATTGTGATCATTTGGGTTCAGAAAACTTGTATTTATTACGAAAATCATTCATTTTGAAATCAATAATGATTTGCTAACTCGTTTTTTTTTGCGTTCTGTCGTTTGTTGATGTTTTTTTTAGTTGAAAAAATATATAGTATTCTTTTATCCTTTTGAACATCACGTGCAGAAACAACAATTTGTACTAGTATGATAGAAGCAGACACAAGGTAATTTTACCAGTAATCGAGTTCGTTTTTATACAATTAATGTTTTTCTAAATAGTATTCACGGTTTTTAGTCAAAGTCAAATGTTAATATAGCTTATTACGTGTACAGAATAAGATTAATTTATTTATTTTTACAAATGCCAAATACTTCACCAGAAAAAAAAGAATTTCGATCCCTTGTTCTGGGCTTAAAAGCTTTAAATTCATCATGGTCAGCATCTCAAATTTCAACCTTTCTTCGACAATCCGAAAATCCTCCATTATTAAAAAGTCGTCAATTATTAACAAAAGTTAAAAGAACGTTGACAAGAAATACCATCGATGATAGGCAAAGACCAGGACGTCCGATCACAATATCAACACCAATCTTTCAACAGCAAGTGAAAACATCAATGAGATTAAAAAGAGGAGCTTCTATTAAAAATGTCACAGCGAATTTGAATAAAAATGGAACAAGATGTTCAACATATACAGTTTATAAAGCTGCTCGAAAGTTAAAATTAAAATGGTTTAAAACAAGAAAATCTCAAAAACTATCATAT